CTCCTGGACAACAACATAAGGTCACAAACAGACATACCTGAGCTTAAGCTCAAAGGAAGATCGGAATCTCTAGTGAAGACATCAAGCCAACTGACAAAGCCTGTTATGTAAATAGATTTCTTTATTGCATATACAAGGCTTTGTTTGTGCATTATGGGTTCTACTGGATTCCTAACAACAGAAAACCACTACAGCCAAGAACAAATAGAGACTGTATCAATCCGCTTTAAATAATGCACTAATATTGTCTCGTCATACACCATCATGAACCAAGCATTATAAACCATCCAAACAAGCTGTGCAGAAAGAGGAAGGTGAGAATCACAAAGACGAGGCCGAGACTCTCCAGCCTTCATCACCCCATCCCCCCCATCCATAAAGCATGAGCTGGGCTCAGCGGGTGGGCCAAGTGGAGTCAGCCCACCCTGCAGACACGTACAGCACCTCCTCCACTGAGGCTACGCCTCTGAGATGCTCTTTGTACAATGGCTAGGGGGAATTCAATTTACTGGGACATCATGATGCTTACTCATATTATTCTGCAATGATGCTCAAAAAAGCATTTTTTATTTTTTAACCATTAATTGTACTGAAATCGTAGCAAGATCATAAAATCACAGGTAAATGCCGATCGGCCACATTAAATTCAGGTTTTGCACACCTTGAGCAATAAATGCATGACTTTGCAATCATTCATGAATAACTGGATTATTGGATAAGGACTGTTAATCATTTTATAGAGATTCGCAAAAAGGATTTGTTGTTGTTCTGTTGGCACCAGGCTGGCAGATCAATTTTATATTTGCACCTCCCATATTTTCACTGACTGCACCACCAACAAACTTTGTGATTTTGTATGTCTGAAACAAACATTTATATTTTTCAACAAACATTTTAGTTGTAGTTACAATTCAAGATTTTAATTTGCAAATATATAAGCGGTTAAAACAAGAAAATATTTTTTACAAAGTGTAACTTTTGGGGGTTGAATAATTTTGTACATGAATATTTAGAGGGAATTAGATTTTTTTAATCAACTTTACATCCTCAAATGTATATTAAGAAACTTTCAGCAATAGTTCATTGTAACACTTTAGTATAGGGACTAGGGCTGAAATGATTCCTCGAATACCTCGAGTAATTCGAATACAAAAAATCATCGAGGCAAATTATTTGCATCAAGGCTTCGTTTAGTCCATTTACTGTAACTACACACGGAACACCGTGTTTCCCCACGGACCATTATTACTGACGCACAACCCGATAAACGCTGGACCACAGACTGTAAAAAAAAGCGCTGGACATATTTAAACAGCGCTGTTTTGCATCTCTGAGCAACATGACGGCGTTTCGTTCCTGAATTAATCAACCGTTTAAATGATTCGGTTCAATTGCAATGACTCACTCCTTAACAGTGGCTTGCTGCCACCTGCTGGAGGTTTTAATTTGACATTTAAAGTATCTTTGCTTTTTTAAAATAATTTTAAATATCAGTATTCAATGTTTTATGTTTAAAATAACAAAATATTATTTATGCATTTGTAACTGCAGGTGTCAGATTTCACCTCTAAAATCAGCATGATTACAAATGTGATTTTATTCAACAGTTCAACAAACAAGAAGGTAATATAAGGAGACTTACATTTTAGATACTATATTGCCTGATTTTGCAAAAAAAAAAAAATCCAAACACAGTTTTAGAAAAAAAGGCTTTATAAAGGTAAAAATGCTCATAAAATGTAAAAATCAATTTAAACTTATTGGAACAGATTAATTTATATCCCTGCTGTCTTCCAAGAAGACAGTAAAGGCTTATGTAATGCTTGAGCTTTAGTTAGGCTGAAACTTGAAGGTTAGGTTGCACGACATAAATGCAATGGTTAGGTATTATAATTATTTTTATTACTATTATTTTGATTTATGCCTTAGTTTTAGTTTGTACTGTTTACCTTTTTTAAAGTAATGTGAAATTGATTTTAGTTTTTTATTTATTTATTTATTTTATTTTTTATTTATATTTTAATTTTATTGATATATTTGTATTTGCATTTTGAATGTAATTTGGCAATTAAATGCATTAAATGGGTTTAGTTTTCACGGTTATTAATGTATGCAATTTCAGCAATAAAAATGTTAATTTTTCTAAAAAGAAAAAAATTTTGTTTATTTTAAGAGATCTATCTTATTATGTCTTGAATATTTAGTATTGCTCTTCAATAAAGAAAAATTACTTCTTATCCGATTACTCGATTAATCGATGGAATAATCTGTAGAATACTCGATTACTAAAATAATCGATAGCTACAGCCCTAATAGGGACCAATTCACACTATAAACTAGTTGCTTATTAGACTGCCTTATTAACTATTAATAAGCAGCAATTAGAACTTTGAGTAAAAAAATCATAGTTAATAGTTAGTTAATAGTGAGAACTAGACCTTAAAGTGTGACCTGGTTTACTGATGCTTTGGTTGAAATGTTTTCATAAATTTTTGCTCATCCCCGCAAAATGTCTTGCAGGTCAAAGGGGTTGAATAATTAGGATATTTTACTACAATAATAAATTAATGATAATCAAATGCACTTTGTACTGAGCATTAGAGCCCAACCGATATATAGTTTTGGCGATATTATCGGCCGATATGAGCCTGTCGCCGATATATCGGTAGCGAAAGAGTGAAAAATTTAAGGGGGTCTGAATACTTTCCGTACCCACTGTATATGCCTGATTCAAGAAGGGGGTCTGATGGCCAAAAATTATTATTTTACTAACTTATTAATTTTAAGTTAAATTGTGCTTTGTTGGTATAGTGTCTGCTAGAATGTTAAAAATGTTCAGTGTTAAATATTTTTAAATTGTTGTTTTGTACAGTAAAAAGCACATTTTGGCTTTTTAATTTATGCAATGGTGAAAATATTTTTGGCAAAATACATGGGGAAAAAAAACTTGAAAAACCGTGTTCGGTATTCGGTCTTCGGCCCAGTGTCTAATTTTGTTCGGTTTTGGCTAATTATTAATTAGTTACTACATAATTTATTACTAATTATTTGGCTTTTTTTATAATTAATTGTACCTTCCACAGTTATTCAAACAGCAAATAAATTACACATTTATAATACACATATATAACATTATGACGTAAGTCTAGCGCAAGTTTAAGTACTCTCAAAAATCTCCCCTTATAATCAGTAAAGCGGTCTATAAACGGTTTTATGAATGAATCTCTTACATCATACGTACATCTACACTTGTTTATGATGAGAGAATTCGCGTGAGCTGAATTGTCGGTGAGCGCGTGCAGTGAACAAAAAACTCATCTGAACGCCTCTGATTGGCCATTGCATTCATAAGCTCAACAGACTCATGTGTGATTGGTTAATAATGCGCAACACTGTAAAAACGTGTAAAAAAAATTATGGTGCAACATTGAGCAGATCTAAATTTAATGCTGCGGTCAACACTTTTCTTTTCATTTTATTCGCGACAGCCGTAACGGATTTAGTTTAACTGTACAGCAGCATTTGTGTCCGTGTGTTGCCATAGTTTCTACAAGCAGAAACTGAGGATAGTGCGGATATTACGTCATTGATAGGCGACAATGACCAGGGACGAGCCATTATTTAAAATTGGAATTTACAAATCCTTGGGAACTTTTGGGATAACATAAATAAACAATTGCATGAAATATACCACACTGTGGAAGTAGTTTTTGGATATTTGATTACGAAAATCTTACATATTGTGCCTTTAAGGCATTAATTACAAGAAAACCCCACTAATTTTGTTCTCGCTGACATTCAGCGTGCACAGCACGTGCACAAAGACTGCATGGGCTAATCGATAATGAAACTTCTAGACTATTTTCATTATTGATTTTTAGCAATTAGTCATTGCAACCCTAATTCACATTATTTAAAGAGGGTGAAGGTCAAAAGATTGGTGCTCCTATGCCATTGTTGAAAAATCTTGATGCATTGGGAATCATTTTGTAATCACACTGTGTCTCCGTTAACCAAAATTGAATTTCAGAGCAAAAAACAAAAGATTCACAAAGGCGCAATCACCTACATCCAGTTTCAAGAGTCCTAGAACATGTAGAATCTCTCCAGCACCCATGATGGGCATAAAATAAGGGGATAGACATCATGCAAGAGCTTGAAGTCACGTCTGGGGGAGGGTAGACCTCAGGGGTCGGGTTGCACAGTAGAGGACGTAAGGGGAAGCACATCCTCAGGATTTCATGCTACAGTCACAATAGTATCTCCTTCACCTGACCACCCAGCGCCTCATTTCCTTTGGTCCTTTCTTTGTGGGGTCTAACAAACAAACATGCTCCCCAAGAAATGGACACAATAGCCTGACCCATTTAATAAGTCCTAAAATATAATATAATATAACATAATATTGATATAATATAATATAATATCATATATTATATGAAATCCTACGGAAGTCTTTAAAAACATATCAAAAAGCTGTGAAAGCTGCCAAGTCTAACTATTTTTCTGCGATAATTTCCAAAAACACCAATAGTCCTAGGACTTTGTTTAATATCTTGAATTCTGTTTTTAATCCAACAGGCAATATCTGTCTTGCAGAGTCTTCAACTTTGAGTGAAGATTTTTTGTGGAAAAAATAGAAGCAATTAGACAGTCCATTATTTATTTTACTGATGACCCTTCATATCTTCTGACTCCTACTAGGTTTTTTAATTCATTGGAGCCGATTACCATGGAGGGTTTAATGGATTCAGTCGTCAAACTGAAGCCTACTACGTCTGCTCTTGATATTGTTCCTACCCACTTTTTTAAACTGATGTTTGATAGTGTTGGGGCCTGGATTCTTGAAATTGTAAATAAGAGCCTTCTTTCTGGGTTTGTTCCAGCTTATTGTAAACATGCAATGGTGAAACCTCTGTTGAAAAAGCCTAATCTGGATACAACCGTTTTATCGCATTTTAGGCCAATCTCAAATTTACCTTTTATTGCTAAAATTTTAGAGAGAGTCGTGTTATTACAGTTACAGACTTTCTTGGAAACAAATAACACTCTTGAAAAATTCCAGTCTGGATTTAGGAAAAATCATAGTACTGAGTCTGTTCTTTTAAGAGTATTAAATGACATTTTGCTACTTTTTGACTCTGGGAACTCAGTAATTTTAGTGCTTTTAGATTTGAGTGCAGCATTCGATGCAATTGATCATGGCATTCTTTTATCGCGCCTTGAAAAGTGTGTGGGCATCCAAGGAAGTGCCCTGAGCTGGTTCAGATCTTATCTTAGTAACAGAACTTTTTCAGTAGGTATTGGTCGCGCTGTTTCATCTGTAGCTCCTCTTACCTCTGGTGTTCCTCAAGGCTCTATTTTGGCTCCCATCTTGTTTTCACTGTACATGCTTCCACTAGGTTCAATTTTTAGGAAGCATGGAGTGTCCTTTCATTTTTATGCTGATGACACCCAAATCTATTTACCTTTAAAACACAATGACAAGAGTGGTTTAGGAACATTGCTTGCATGCTTAGCTGATGTAAGATCTTGGATGTCTAGAAAAATTTTGCATTTAAATGAGGGAAAGACGGAAGCAATTGTCTTTGGACCCTCTGTGGGTAAAGGAAAACCAAATTTTAACTGTGGTCATTTAAACTCTTATATCAAACCAACGGTGAAAAATTTGGGAGTTCTTTTTGATTCCTCCCTTAAGTTTGACCAACATATTAACTCAGTAGTTAAGTCATGTTTTTTCCATCTTAAACTTCCGTCAAAAGTTAGATCTTTTCTTTTCTATTTTTTAAAGATCTCTAAAGAGTCATACATGCCTTTGTTTTAGCACGTTTGGACTATTGTAACTCCTTGTATATTGGACTACCCCATGTCACGGCTTCAAATGGTTCAAAATGCCGCAGCCAGATTTTTAACAGGGGTTCGTAAACGAGAACACATTACTCCGATTTTAATGTCTCTAAACTGGTTGCCAGTAGGGATGTGTGGGTCCAGTCGACTAAACGGTACAGTTCCTTTTAGTCGACACTGAAAACAATAGTCGATTACACGACAGAAAAAAAGAAAAGAAAAAGAAAAACAGGATTTTATCATTCACATTACCATCATTTTAACATTGCATTTAAAACATTTTAAATAAAAATCATAGTACTGAGTCTGCTCTTTTAAGAGTATTAAATGACATTTTGCTACTTTTTGACTCTGGGAACTCAGTAATTTTAGTGCTTTTAGATTTGAGTGCAGCTTTCGATACAATTGATCATGGCATTCTTTTATCGCGTCTTGAAAAGTGTGTGGGCATCCAAGGAAGTGCCCTGAGCTGGTTCAGATCTTATCTTAGTAACAGAACTTTTTCAGTAGGTATTGGTCGCGCTGTTTCATCTGTAGCTCCTCTTACCTCTGGTGTTCCTCAAGGCTCTATTTTGGCTCCCATCTTGTTTTCACTGTACATGCTTCCACTAGGTTCAATTTTTAGGAAGCATGGAGTGTCCTTTCATTTTTATGCTGATGACACCCAAATCTATTTACCTTTAAAACACAATGACAAGAATGGTTTAGAAACATTGCTTGCATGCTTAGCTGATGTAAGATCTTGGATGTCTAGAAAAATTTTGCATTTAAATGAGGGAAAGACGGAAGCAATTGTCTTTGGACCCTCTGTGGGTAAAGGAAAACCCACTTTTAACTGTGGTCATTTAAACTCTTATATCAAACCAACGGTGAAAAATTTGGGAGTTCTTTTTGATTCCTCCCTAAAGTTTGACCAACATATTAACTCAGTAGTTAAGTCATGTTTTTTCCATCTTAAACTTCCGTCAAAAGTTAGATCTTTTCTTTTCTATTTTTTAAAGATCTCTAAAGAGTCATACATGCCTTTGTTTTATCACGTTTGGACTATTGTAACTCCTTGTATATTGGACTACAATCACGTCATTCACTACAACCCGTCGGTGCTGCGATCCCATCCGCACCATCTATTCCTCTAACGAACACCCACTTCGGTGGTGGTGCGGGATGCTTTCTGAAACTCTATCGGCTTGCTTTTCATTATCTCTACGTGCCTGCGACTTCAGTTCCTGCCGAGCGCGTTTTTTCAAGTGCAGGAATTTTATTGTTAATTGCCTCAGGTCCGTCTTTCACCAGACCATGTTGATAATTTCACTGAACAAATAACGCATGGTCTGAGTAAGTAAAATGGGCATTGTTTTGTTTTTTTTTTAGACGATATAGCCTACACGAAGTACGTTTTTAAAAGCCGTTTTAATGCTATTTCTTGATAAACCTTCCTATTGTTTTTGACTTGTGTTTTAATATGTTGGCTAACGTTATATGAAGATTAAGAATTCTGTCAGGCTATTGATTGATTTTCCATTTTTCTGCATTTCCCCAGCTGATTTGAATAAATAAGCTATGCTTTGGCCGACGTTAGTGTATACTCTTCTTTTTTTTATTTTTAACGACTGCCTAAAATGAAATGATGATAACGCGAGGCAAGTGTGCGGCAAGCGGAATTCATTGAGGGATTTGACAGTGTGATTCATAGATTAAGTATTTCAAATATAGGCTATTATATAGGCTATGCTACACGCAAAGAGTTTTTTTTTCCTTACTATCTATTGGGGGTTTCTTGCTTTTAGACTAGTCGACTAGTCGGATACAAAACTTTCGTTTAGACGACAGTCAAATTAGTCGTCGCGCACATCCCTAGTTGCCAGTGCGTTACAGAGTTGAATTTAAAATTTTGCTGTTTGTTTTTAAGTCTTTAAATGGTCTGACACCTTCTTATTTGTCAGATCTTGTAAATGTGAATAGGTCTGCCAGATGTTTGCGATCCTCAGACAGTATTACTCTGTCATATCCAAGATCAAGATTGAAGTTGAAAGGTGACCGTGCGTTTGCGGTGGCCAGTCTTAGGTTATGGAACAGTCTTCCCTTATCTGTGAGATCCGCATCTTCTGTATATGATTTTAAATCTAAGCTACAGTCTCATCTTTTTATTCTTGCATTTAATTCATTATAATTCTTGGTCTCATTTTTAGCTTATGTTTCAGTGTATTATATTTAGTATTATTCTTTTTATTTTACCTTTCCTCTTTTGTACAGCACAGTGGTCAACTCTTGTTGTGTTTATTTGTGCTTTATAAGTAAATAAATGAAATGAAATGAAATTATATCGTTATCGCAATAAATACAATAAATATTGTGATATATTTTTAAGCCCATATCGCCCATCCCTAGTCTACATTGATATTTTTCTGATGGCTAGACTTTGTCTGCAGGGGTTTAGGATTCTACACACAAATGCCAGATGTTTACGATCCTCAGACAGTATTACTCTGTCATATCCAAGATCAAGATTGAAGTTGAAAGGTGACCGTGCGTTTGCGGTGGCCAGTCTTAGGTTATGGAACAGTCTTCCCTTATCTGTGAGATCCGCATCTTCTGTATATGATTTTAAATCTAAGCTACAGTCTCAGCTTTTTATTCTTGCATTTAATTCATTATAATTCTTGGTCTCATTTTTAGCTTATGTTTCAGTGTATTATATTTAGTATTATTCTTTTTATTTTACCTTTCCTCTTTTGTACAGCACAGTGGTCAACTCTTGTTGTTTATTTGTGCTTTATAAGTAAATAAATGAAAATGAAATATAACAAAATCAAAGAATTCATATTTGCTACAAAGGCTATATGAGAAAAATAAACAAATAAACAAACAAATAAAATAAATAAATAAAAAAACATTTAAAACTATTATTTAAGCTTTTAATGTTTTTGAAAGGAGTCTCTTATTCTCACCAAGACTGCATTTACTTGGTCAAATTACAGTGAAACAGATATATTGTGAAATATTATTAAAATTTACCATTTAAAATTTTTTAAATATAATTTGAATAACTTTCAGCATCATTACTCCAGTCTTAAGTTTCACATAATCCTTCAAAATTAATTCTATTATGCTATTTGTGCTCAATTATTGTTTGTGCTGAATTATTAATAATGGTTCTTATTATCATCAATGCGGTGTAATATTTGTGGAAACTGTAATACTTTATTTCTTTTTAATATTAGTATGTTAAAATGATTTTAAATATATATTAGAATATATATTTGAATATTGGGCTTTAACATATATATTGGAGCACCACATCAGTATATAAAAATATTTCAAACAGATGTGAAATAAATAAGTAAATAAATAAATGTTGTCACTGAGAATTTAATTTCTCTTACACTGGAAGATGTATTTATTTATTTATGTATTTTTATGCATGTATGTATGCATGTATGTATTTATTGCCAAGTTAAATACAAAAAAGCAATATACTCCTAATAAATTCCCTTGCAGTCATACAGTTTGGATATGAATGCAGGTTACTTTAACAACTAGCTCTACGAAACAAAGTCTGCATATTGTATCTCAGCAGCCTCTGTGAGGGGTCAGGGCTTCAGAGTTTATGTGGGACCCTGCTGATTCGGTATTACTCCAGTGTGGTGCTCAAGGAGCTGAGCAAGGCACTGGTGTAGAGTTACACAAGCTCAGCTGCCAGGCAGTTTAATCAGCGGACTGCTTTTCAGACGTCATACGGTAACAGCGTTAAGTGAACATCCTGGAAACGCTTGTGGTCAGAGTGCCACCTTTCCTGAAGTGCTGATTCAACACTGAGACACAAACCCTGCTGTGGGACATGTACAGAGACGCACGGCCCGCATACTGTCCCAGATACAGCACAGGAAGAAGACTTATACACAGCAGAAAGACTCAAACCACTTGCACAGACGTCCCTGCTTAAACCAGCAGAGTGGCAGACATGTAGGCTTACACACAGCTTTACTGAGACGCTCGTATAGACGCTCGCTGTGTTGCGTGCTGAATTATTGAACAGCTGCTGCTGCCACCCTTTTCCTGTCTCCTCTGGTCCAACACACCCCTAAATGACATATATCATTACAAACACATCCGCTTGACTTCCACTTCCAATGTAAGAAGGGCAAATGTTTACTATACTTTTTTT